AGGATGATATAGTATAGTATAGTTGTTGAAATTTCTCGGGTATAATTTAACCCGGAAAAATATGAATCAACATGTACCTTGAATTTTATAAGAAATATTATTAAAATAATAAATTTACAGTTTGTGTATTAAAAATAAGTTTGTAGATGCAGCCTATTCAATGGATAGGTGCTATATTAATATAGCGATAAGTAAATACTATAGTAACATAGTAATATAGTAAAATAACAAATAAATAGTTCGTCAAGTTCTTCCATAATTGAAACTGGACAGAATTATTTCAAAAATGAATCTTCAACTTCAACCGAATCAGATTTGCAATTTCTAATGTCTGACTTGTTTTATACAAAAAATTCTACCTTGAATAAAATGAAAAAGACTATTAACGCATAAAAATGATACTATCCACTGTTTTCAGTCCTATGGTTTGTTCAAGTGTGAGATAATCAACAACATAAATGTCTCTCTGTCTGAAACTGCTAGATGGACTTCTTGCTCTGTTGTCATGAGACTTGCTATCTAGCAGGCTTGCTGTTTGCTAGACACTTGGTTCAAGTGCATTGTGCATAGGTTTCTAAAAGGTAAAATCATTAATTTTGCTCGTTGACCTGGAACAGTTTAATTAAATCCAAGGGAAAAAGGACTATTTATTTATCCTATATTATAAATAGCCCTTTTTTTAATCAGAATCTTGTTAAACGTGAAATGAAAAGAAAAATTCTGCCAGAGAAAAGAAATTTCTCTCCACCGTTTCGTAAAATATTTTTTTCCTCGTAAAAGTTCTTGTTGTTTTTCCTTCTTCTCCTGAAGATGATATGTCCCTTGGGTCATTATGTTCGTAAGCAACTTTCCCTTTGATTTACATACTCGCGTGTTTGAATTTTTTATAATCTTTCTTTGCTTTTTCTCTCTGCTTCCACTAGTCAATGACACGCTGAAACTCAGTGCTACAACCTCGTTAATTATTTATTCTTAACGATGGAAAGAAAAGGTATTCTTTTTTTTCCTTCGAATTGAACATAATTTTCTTTCGTCATTTTCTGCTGGTTTTAATTGAAGGAAGAAATTCTGCGGTGCATCGAGGATTTATTGTACATTATATTTCCGTCGTGACACAACGAAACTACGCCTTATCGCGTTCACTGAACTTACCCTAACGAAGTGGCAAACGAGAAAAAGGAAAGAGAACTTTGGGTCTTCATGATCAGTTCAATGGAATTAACTTGTTGAATTAATCATTCTGACTTGCTCCTAGGAGTTCCTAGGAGTAATACTTATGTAAGTATCTAAGTTATTTTTCTTTTAGCTGAACTTTAGTTAGTTGATTATGTCTAATTTAAAATTAGGGAACTGTGAATTTTGACCTCTGGAAACT